AAATCGATGTTTTTTTGCGGTTTAAGCTAAAGATGTGCCACTGTTTTGGTCGTGTGTTTTTTTACGCTGAGTTTGGCTCGGCGTGCGTGCGGATGTATGTGATAGATTGAACGCAATCTTCATTTTGTCAACGCGATTTATTAGCGCAATGAGCTACGGGCCCAACAAGCAAAATAGCTTGTTTTTGTGCTTCTCAGCAGTTTTTCCTGAGGAAAACGTATGACGTCTGTATTTCGAATAACATGTACTAACGACAGTGATGATACGCAGCTGGTCCCGAGAAACTCCAGCACAATGGAAACTCTGAATATAATCCATAATCTGCCGGTGTCGATGAGTCAGAGCAGGTTTGTCTTTGACTAGCTGATGATTATGAGCCAGTTATTATCCATAACAAAACCACTTATTCACGGGGCGCGTGTTCTCCCGTGTAATGAGGGGCTGTCATGCGTGTGCTGAAAACACCCTCATAGCCTGTCAAAACCGCAGAGAAACTTCAGTGTGACTCAAGCAAACAGCGGGAGAAATCAGCCCGTGCTAAAAGTCAGAGATCAGAGCAAAACGATATTATTAGTGTTTAAATATCAAAGGACAAACAAAGACACAAGCTAATGAGGGAACATGAGAAACCAGCGGCAGGAGGAAAAAGATAGAGACAGAATGAAAAAAATAAAACAAATGTTTATTTCTAAGTCTTAAAATGTGAGTTTTATCAAATTTAAGGCCATAAAAAGTCTTAGTTATCAATATAAAAGAGGTCATACATTTGGGGAAGGAAGTACAAGACATGCAGTACGACCTAATGTGATTATTGAACTTTAAAAGGCTGTGATTTAATTAAATAAATGTGATCGCTGCACATTTAATAGAAAAACATCCAATATCGGTCAACCTCTCATTCATATGTGTTGATGTATTTGTGCAAAAACCAATTTCAAAACATATGTTGTTACAGTTACCCTGTTGATTTTGCTTGAGATTTTAGGTTATTTTGGTTATTTCATATTAGTGGAAAGAAAATATCCTAAGTACATATGTAAGTGTTTATTTTATTACACTTTCTCTTTTTGCGTCTATAGATTTCAATTGCAACACGTACCTCTAAAAGTTTTTTTTCCACATCAGCAGCACTGACATACACCAAAACTTACAGTTTTATTCCTCTCTATGTTCTGAAGGTTTTTACTGAGGGGTTTGTTCATAAATCATTCACACTGGTTTATATAACATTTTATTCCTGAAAACATGGTGAAAATTTATTTTGTCTGTTGATGGTATTTTTTGATTTATGCAGTAATAAAAAGAGAAATCCAAAAACCCCTCTATAAAAACATTTAACTCTAATATGTTAACAAAATGAAACAAGAATTTTGCATCTGGCTATTTATATAACATTTTATTCCTGAAAACATGGTGAAAATTTATTTTTTTCTGTCTGTTGATGGTATTTTTTGATTTATGCAGTAATAAAAAGAGAAATCCAAAAACCCCTCTATAAAAACATTTAACTCTAATATGTTAACAAAATGAAACAAGAATTTTGCATCTGGCTTCATCCAGTATTCATATTTATTTTCTGGAAATATGTGCACATTAGTGCATATTTAATTAGACGATGCCTCACTTTCATATTTAAACATACTATTTCAGAAATTTAGTAATGCAAAATAAATTGTCCTTATTTACTGTGATTAATCTATACATCGGGAAGCATGTAGATATCTATTAGTTAACATCTATGATTTCTTGTCTTAAGTAAGTATAGATTAAGTATGGATTTGTTCTATATGGACGTATGATGTTAATTTTATTTGTGCAGGTCTTAAATCTGATTTCCAAAACTGATACTCTGGAACAAGCTAAAGAACAAACTGAAGTAAAAGCAAACAAAAGAAAGAAAGAAATAGCGAGAGCCGTACACATGCAGCATCTGTGCTCAATGTGTGCGTTTTTCCGGAGTGATGTTCCATCTGTGGCATTCCTGTCCTATTCCAGCTCTCTTCCGGATTCATTCCCACTTCCAGATTCACGGTCCTTTGGATTAGCAGGATTTATAAAGATGTGTGTCTGAATCCAGCAACACGTCAGGATCTCTCAAGGAAACACAGCAACCGTCCTTGGAAACTGTTAAACATTCGGAAGAATAAGAAAGATGGTTTATTTCACTGATAAAATGGACAGATCTCGCTGAATGTGATTCACATGTGATATTTGTCCGGGTATGAAATGTGTTTTGGACATTTGGCATCTGTGTGCAGTCAAATGTACAGTTTCGAAATGAGCGCAGTGATCTTCATGTGTTCTGCATCGTGATTCAGATCAATGCAGCAGATTTCGCTGTGTGTTTACTAGACGCAGCTCATGCATGTGGTAGTTGTTGACCTCTTGTTTGACCTTTGAGGATTCAGTGTGTTCTGGGACGCCACCTGGTAAATGTTCAGATCAGAATAGAGTACAATGAATCCTATGTGTGTGGAAGAGTTTTATACTTTTATTTTGTGTTCTACATGTATTCACCATAGTAGAAAACTGAAAAATTCACCATGGTACCCATAGCTTTTCCTGCCAAAATACCATAGTAACAGTACAGTGCTAAGTGAGTTTTAGCACAACTGTCATTAAAAATGAAAGCAAAATGACATTCATATTCAGTTTGTTCAACTGTAACTGTTGCCATTTTGTGAATTATGGTTACAATGGTCATTTTTTTGGACCGATTAGTGTTTTTACATTATTATTTTTTTTTTTAAATGGGTAGGTTTACATTGTGAACCTATATAATATATATTCTATAATATACGTGTGTGTACATTATATATATATATATATATATACAGTGGGTACGGAAAGTA